CAAAAACGTCAACTCCATGCCGTGCGTGGCTAGAGAAAAGGGAAATGTGGTAGCCGTGGAGAAGCTGCTCTCCCTAAGAAGGAGGCTTATGATTCGCCGGGCTTACGCCAGGAGTTCTGCGAGGCTCTGGTGAAGGGAGGCTACGCTGCTGCCGATTACCTCAATCCCAGCCTGCACGAACTCCCTCGCCCTCTTTGAAAGCGGCCGGCGACCTGGTCAAGGCTCACGAGAAGCTCTTCTTCAATCGCCTCACCGACACGCGGCTACAGGCCACTCAGGTGAGCGGCAGGAAATGGGAACTGGGCAGCCACAGACCAGCCGTCTCTCTGTTTGACAGCCTCGGCAGAATCTCTGCCTCCCAGCGCGCTTGGTCCTCCGCCCGCAGGCTTCCCCGACTCCTTGCCAAGTGGGTTTTCCACCCCAGCCCAGCAGGGCCCTCGCTGCCTTCCCCTCGCCTGGCCGGCCGGGCTCCTTGGGCAACCCCGCTGTCTCGTGCTGAGAAGCGCGCTGCCCGGCGGGGGCCACACGGCGCAGGGCAACATGCCACCGCCCGGCCCTGATGAGGGAAAGCAGCGGGCGCTCCCCGGGCGGCGGCCGTCTCTCTGTCTGACGGCCTCGGCTGAATCTCTGCCTCCCAGCACGCTTGGTCCTCTGCCCGCAGCCTTCCCCGGCCCCTTGCCAAGCGGGTTTTCCACCCCAGCCCAGCAGGGCCCTCGCTGCCTTCCCCTCTCCTGGCCGGCCGGGATCCTTGGGCAACCTGGCTGCCTCGTGCCGAGAAGCGCACTGCCAGGCAGGGGTCACGTGGCGCAGGGCAACACGCCACCGCCCGGCCCTGGCGAGGGAAAGCAGCGGGTGCTCCCCGGGCGGCGGCCTCGGCCCCGCCACCAGGGAAGCGGCTGCCCAGCTCCGGAGCTGATCCATACCTGACCGGCTGGAAAGGAAGGGTGTGTAGCGTTGGTGTTGTGTGTGTGTGTGATTTCTTGGCACGCAGCGCGGGGTCTCTTTTGGCTGGTCCCGATTTCTTTTTCCAGAAGGGAATATCATGCCTGTATTAACCATGATTATTAAATCCAATCCAACTTTGATTATAATTAAATTAAGTCATAACTAGCTTTTCAATGAGTGGAATATATAGTAAAATATAATAAAATTAATTAATTAATAATAAATAAATAAATAAATAAATAAATAAATAAATAAATAAATAAATAAATAAATAATAACCCTAACCGGTCCTTGAAAAAGTGTTTCTGCGTGAAACCGGTCCCTGGTACAAAAAAGGTTGGGGACCACTGCTCTACCTGACTGTGGTTTCTTCTCCAAACCCCAAAAACTTTAACCTAAGACTTTCTACTATTGACCTCACCCCTTTCCTAAGAGGTCTGTAGGGGGCGTGCATAAGCGCACCAATGTGCCTACCGTCCCTGTCCTATTGTTTCTTTTATTTTTCTGATATGTATCCATGTATTCATAACTATGTTTTTATTTATACCTATTATCTTGTAAGCAATGGACAAACAAAATAAAAAAAAATATCCACAGCACTGTACACATAAAGTATAGCAAAAGTCTTAATTCTTTAGTTCTGAAAAAAATAATTGCTACAGGCAGTTAGCACTTAGGGCTATGTCTGATTATTGTACATGGAGTGTAAGATTTGAAGATTGACGTTTCCAGGACACATAGAATTGAAAACAGGTGTCCAAAGGACTTTACATGTTCAGTTTGGTTATTGTTGTTTGAACAAATATAACAGAGGCTATCATGCTGCTTAGCAAATACAGCCACATTGATTGTTTTCCAGCATTTTGTTCTGGCAATATAAAGGCAGCATCTGTAGCTCCACCACAGCCCTATTTGGGATAGAACCTGGATGTGGATCTCCAAAGGCTTGTTTGAAGCTCTCCCTGTTAAAAGTACTGGCTCAAATAAATCTATGAGAATGAGTTCCTAGTCCAATTAATATTGATGGACAGAGAGCATTGACAGACACAATTTCCAGGGAAGGAGCATATCACTTCCAAATTATCTAAGGTAGTTTCTCTAGTTAAAGTATATCTAGCTGAAGTATATCTAGTACAAAGTATATATATGGCTACATATATTGGGCTCAGACAAAGCCTGGAGCAAAATCAAGCAAAGAATTTTTGATCTTGATGTATAAACACCTCAGATCTCTGCTACAATGAGATTGTGGATCCATCTTTCAGCATCCCCAAATACTTTCCTTGTATACTTGCTCTCTTACTTAGGAGGGCACTCAAACTGACATGCCTAGAAAATTCGCCCGCAAAGGTATTGATTAGGAAATTCAATAGTATCCCCTATTCGGAGCTCTTACACATGTACTCAGACACTGACATTGAGATGGTGTTTTTGAAATGCCCTTTTATCTTTGAAGGATGGAGTTAATCTCTCTTCCATTTACAAATTACGTGGTCCCTACAGGCAATTGTATGCTTCCTGTTAAACTCTTAGGATACAAAAAGTTTTGGAAATTCTTTGCCATAGTAATTTCAGCCAGAAACTGTTGGGTCTGAATGTATTACTGTATGGGACATGGTAGTTTCTGCTTTGAATAAGCTTTTATCCAATTATTTTTTTATGTTGATATTATTTTCTTCTCTCTCTTGCTTTGACTTTTTTGAATGATTGTAACTTTTTAAAATAACATAAGAGAATGAAAAATAAGGTGGATTTACACACTACACTAATCTATGATGTGATTTCCTTGTTTATTAGACAAGCATGTTTATAAATCCAGCCAATTATAATTTTAATTCAAATATGTTCAAACGATAGTTAAAGCAAATATGACTCAATATTATAGGTGGTTATTCAACTTTATCCAAACTACTGTATGATTAAAACAAATTATTGTTACTGATACATGCATTATTTGCATACAAAGCATAATGCACTACAGTTTTAGCCACCAATTTAAGATCAATGTTAAGTAGCTTCAGGAATACAACAGCCAGCTAAACTGTGTTGCATTTTCAGTATGACTGAATATTCCAGCACAGCTTTCTAGGAATTGGTAAAAGATAAAAGATTCCACATTACAGTTCTGAATGGGTATCATTCTTGATGACATCAAAAAGCAGCAAGACATACAGAAAAATAATGGGACTGAATTTTTCCCCACATTCTGTTTATTTGGTTTTGGCAGGAAAAATGTTTTAGTGCCCAAATTTGACTGAAATATATTCAGGGGGGGAAAAAGGCAGCCCCAGCCACAACATATGCTTAGACTAAAAAGAGTGTTTATCATTAGCCTGTTATATTCTTTAGAGCCCTATGGAGGTTCATGTCTAGAGGAACGATTGTATTAATTTTAAGGATGGAAGGGATGGGAGGATTTCTTCTTTCTGTGGGATGTGGCAACTTCATGGAATCAGTCTTCTGTCAAAAGTGGATAAGGACACACAATATTTTTCTCTTTCCAATGCTTCCTTTTTTAAAGAGTCTTTAGTGCTGAGCTTGGTTGTTTTCTTGCAGACATTTCATTACCCAAATTAGGTAATATCATCACTGCTAGCATTGATGGTGTTACCTAGTTTGGTAAAGAAACATCTGCAAGAAAACAACCAAGCTCAGAGGGCATCAAATGATCACCCTCATTTCAAGCCTGAGTTACAAATATTCTCCTTTGTTGCTTCCCCCTTTCTCTCTCCCATTCTTTTTCCTCACACCTTTGTTTCTCTTTTCCAAGCAAGAGGCTGCAAGAAATTAACAGACACTAAATTACAGCATCTGTTGCAGGGAATATGTAAAATTAGGCCAATTGTCATAATTGCTTAGAAAAAATCACCCATCCTTTAAAAAACATGTGAACTTAAGATTCATAATTGAGGGAGAAAAATATTTTCCTCTAATTTTACCATTATCATCACACATATTAAACTAGGCAATGAACTCTTACTATTTTCTACCACTGCCATTCTAAATGATGTCATTACTTTTACAAATATACCAAAGAGTAATAGAAGCAATATAAAAGGTCACTTGAAAGTTCCCAATCTATTATTTCATTCTGCAACTGAAGAGGATTCTTATAGCAATGTCAGCTATATCAGTCAAGACCCCAGAAATCCTAAAATCAATCAATACTTTAGAACTCATTGCTTTCCACCATTAAAGAGAGAAATAATTGCTTTTAGTCCAATTGAATCTGGATGTGGAGGACTGCTATTCATTGGTGGAAAGATTAGATATAAAATAATTGAAGTATTTCACTTTTGGCTTGGACCAGCTAGTGGTTTCAAGCATGAATGCCAAGATTTTTCTCCAAAGGAATTTTATCATCCAAACTGCCTAACCTCATCCATGGAATTTCATTCCCTGCTGGTTAGTCTCTATTTGTTCCCCCTTTCCACAGACTTAGAAGAATAATTGTACCTTTAAATGAGGGGACCTTGGTACTAGTGCTAATCCTAATGATGTTACCTAGCTTGGGTAATGAAACATCTGCAAGAAAACAACCAAGCTCAGAGAGCACCAAAGACCCTTAATTCAACCCTGAGCTACATTCTTCTTCACTGATATCTTCAAAGCATCTCCAAAACCCCAGAGTCTCACACTGTCAGCTTTCTTCTCATTACTTTAGCATTCTTTATCTACTGGGTTTCTTTTTCATTGAAGCCAATGAAAAACAATAACAATGCAAGAACCTGAAATAACTTTTTGACTGCTGCGTCTCATCACTGCAAAATACAGTAGTGAAATCACTCCTTCAGAAAAGACATCTTACCCCACCATGGCACCGTCCTGCAGAAAACGCTAAACTTTCCTTTTAGTTTTGGCTTCCATTGTGATCTGCTTGCTAACGATGGAAGGCTATGCCTTTTTTGGGGTGGGGAGCAGTCTGCCCAAATATTCCGTATCTTTCGGAGGTCCTGCCTCACATAAATACATAGCTTGTAACAATTAAATAAGTCGACCCTAAATGTAGCTGAGTTAGCCAGGCATCTGGCCAACGAATAATCCAAGGTACTCACACATTTTTCTGGAGGATGAGATTCCGAAGTGAACTCGGAAGCGGCGGGCTCCTTGAACTCGCAGCTTTCCGCATTCTTCAGCAGCTCTTTAAGAGAAAAGATACAAAGGGCCGTGGAAGTCGGGCTGGCGGCGGGACTTGAGGCCGAGCCGAAAATCCCGGCCCAGAGGTCGCGTTGCTCCAGGTACGCCGAGGAAAGAATTTTGCCGCCGGCGCCACATCGCAGGATCTGGCTATTGTACCAGAAGGTGTTCTCGTACAGAGCGATGAGCATCTTGGCCTCCACTTTGTCGTTGTCATAATAAGGGAAAAAGAAGTACTCCTGCCAGCGAAAGGCATCCTCGAAGTGCAGGTCGTACACCTTCTTCATGGCCACCTGCCTGTTTTCGGCCACGTTTTTCTCGCTTTCTTTTATGAGGAAGACCGCCTTGTTGGCGATGCTCGGCGGGGGGTCATCGGTGCAGTGGTTCAATTTGTGGGCCGTGGCTACGAGCAGGGACCAATGTGAGCAATTGTCCTCGCAAAACATCAGCCCGGCCGCCGCGCCTTCCGACGCGTAAGTCACCAATTCCTGGCCCAACGCTTCCTTGGAGCTCCCTTCGGTGAGGTTCTGCAGATAGCAGACGCCTCGCGGCTGAGTCCAACAGGTGAGCAGGCGGTCGCGACCGAAGGGCAGCAGGAGCTTGTTGACCGAAGCCACCGTCTCCCCGCAGAAGGTGACCGGCTTCTCGCAGAAGCGCTCCTCCTTCCACGCCAGCGAAGGCGCCACCTCGTACCAGCAGTTGCCGCTGGCCACCAGGAAGCGCTCCCCGCTCACGGCCAGGTTAGCAACGGCTTGAGGGAACTCGAGGGGGCCCTGCCCTCGGACCCCCGCCGCAGCCCAGGCTAGCAGCAGCAGCAGCAGCGACGGCGGCGGCGCGGGCAAAGCCGAGCTCCCAGGGTCACGGCGAGCCAGCTGCCTTCTCGTGCCCCCCGGCCCTTGGGCCATGGTCCCCTGTCTCCCCCGGCTACCTAGGGCTCCTCGGCTGGCGGGAGAGGCTCTGGCACCACCGACATGCCAGCAGCTGCGGCCCCGCCCCATCCCTCGGACGAGCAGGGAACCGCTCCCACGGCTGCCCTTCCCCCGCTCTGTGGCTTCCTCTGTGCCTCAGCTGCCTCGCGCCTCATCGGTTCCTCTTTTTCCCTGGGAGGTGGGAAGCCCGCTTCGCCTCCTTCACATGCGGGGCCGACCCCGTCTCTCCCCTCCTTCCCTTTCTCCCTGCCTCCCTCCTACTGAGGGCGTGCCATCTGGGGCTCTCCACGTGCTTGTCGCTTTCTTCCCGAAGCCTCGAGCTCGCTGTCACCTAGGCGGGAAACGGGCTGCTGCAGATGTGTGCAGGAGAATGTCCTGGCGGAGCTGAGGCCAGCTGGTTCTTTAAGGGCGGGGGCTAAGTGGGTCTCCTCGCCGGTGCCAGAGGGTTCAATTCTTATTCTTGTCTTCGGCCTCCGCTCCGCCCTGGCGCTGGGTGCCCCTTCCAAAAAACGTTTCCCAGCTGACTTTCCCACTCTAGCCGGGTTTTTTTTCTCTCTCTCGAGAAACTTACAGCACCAACCAACCAGCCCTGGTCCAATATAACAAGCAGGCTTGATCTGCCCTCGATAGACCTATGATTTTAACTAACTAAAGACAAAATGGTCCATGTGGATGAAAGCTGTTTTCAGAGTAAGTAGGAATAAGGCTTCTAGGGGAGCTTGGAGATCATTTAGTTCAATTTTCTGCTCAGAACAAGACTGTACAACAGCATGGTAAGATGGCCATTCCAGCCTTGCTTCAGGCACCCCCAGTGAGATAGAGTCCACCTAGCTAAGCTGTTGAGCAGCTTTTTCCATTACCTTCTCCCCTCCCCCATGCCTACTTGAAATCTACCTTCTTTTCATTTAAACAGTCCCCCCCCCCTCCTGGAAAAACTCTGAACAATTCCAGTCCATCTTCCACAAGACAAGCCAGCAGATATGTGGAAACAACTATTATATCTCACTGCAGTCTTCTCTTCTACAGCACAGCATAAGGTAAAAATACCAAGTGGCTCCAACTGTTCTTGTAATTTTCCTTCCCAATTTCTTGTCATCTTGGTTTCTGTTCTGTGGACATCCTTCATTCTGTCAGTGTCTTTCCAAACGGTGCCCTGCACTAGATATTCTAAAACACAGGTGTCAAACTTGCGGTGTCACATTGCCATCACATGACATATCACGACGTTTCCCCCCTTCATGGAACTGGGGTGGGGGTGGCCTGCGTGTAACACATACGGCCAATAGGCCACCAGTTTGACAACCCTGTTCTAGGGGCATTCAGTTGACCAATGCAAAATACTGTGGAATGATTGTTTCTTTAGATCTTGACATTAGACAACTGTTGATACCAGTTGTCAGATACTAGGTCAGAATTACATTTGCTTTTCTTGTAACTGTTTCACATTTTGGGCTCATGTTCAGATTTTGATCCTTCAAGACACCCCAACCCTTTAAAGATGACATCTGCCCAGTATGTCATTCCATTTTAATCCCATAGATTTGATTTTCATACCCAAATATAGAACTCTGCATATTCAATAACAAATTTAAACTTTGCTACTTTTCTATCCATTTCCAATGTATCAAGTTCTTCCTGATTCTTCAGACTGTTCTTCAGGATGATGCTGTCCTTACCTCCATGTTAATTCATGAAAAATTGATAAATATAATTTCCAGTTCCAAATCCAAGTCATTTATAAGTATGTTGAACAATGCAGGCTTTATAACAGAAACTTGCTATACGCTGCTTATTCCTTTTTTCAGCTTTACACAATTCCCTTAATGTTCACTTATTGGGTATGTTCATTCAACCAGTTCTGAATCCATTTACTGATAGCATGGTCTAGTGCAAACTTTCCCATCTAGTCCATTAGAATCTCATGGGAGTGCTAAAGTCAAGATGCATTGTGTTCATTACATTCCTGTCATTAACTAAACTGATGACTCTATCAAACAGGGAGATAAAGCTAGTTGACATGACTTATTCTTTTTTTTAATAAAGTTTTACTGAGTTTTAACAAATAAAACATCTTATTTGAGTACAGCATTGTTCCGGGTTATCACATTTCCATACAGACACAATTTCATATGCATATTCATCTTATGTATTCAACTTCATATCTTATTACTCTTTTTCCAACTTCTCACTATTTCTCTCTTTACTTCTCTTAATTTTCTTTTATGGTTATCTCATTTTCTTCTTATTCAATTGTATTTCTTTTACCTAAATTTCTATATCTTTTTATTCATTGTACTTATACTTTCGTCTGTCTTGTTTACAATTTCATATGTTCTCTTCCAACATTCTTAAGAAGCAAAATTCCCCCCATGATTGCCAATAGAAGTGCAGCACCTTTAAATCTTATTGTTATTATCATGTGAAATCTCATTAAACATTGAATTTGTGCATTCTAAAATTATAACATTCAAATTTCTAATATCTATTTTATATCATGTAGATCTCATCATTCAGACTCTGCTTGGTACTTCCCCTTGAAAATGTAAAAAGAAAAATTCTAAAAACATAGCAAAAACAATATATATATATATAAACATTAGTAAACAAAATAGTTATTCAAAATCATTCTAGTACTGGTATGAACCTTGTAAATCTTTCATGTTTCTTTTCAATATCTATCAATCTTTGAGAACAATTGAAATGTTTCCCTCCCTTCTTCATTATTTCTTAACTGTTAATAAGCATACCATTGGGTAGTCATACAGTTTTATCTTATAAATTATTTACTATTAATAAGCAAAATAATTATTCAAATTCATTCTAATAACTGGTATAAATTTCCTTATAAATCTTTCACATTTCTTTTCAATATTTTATCAATCTTTAGAAACAATTGCAATGTTTCCCTCTCTTCTTTATTATTGCATTAATTATAAATAAACATAACATTACATAACAATACAGTTTTATCTCATAGATTATTTACTTATTTCATTTCTAACTCATTACAGTATTCTACTGTCACAACACTATCTTTTGTACCTTTGCAGTATCCTCACTTTTAACTTAATTTAACCCTTGTCTCTGTGTTTTCTAGCTGAGCAAATACCTTTAATCCTAGTATGTTTTCCCCTTTTCTTTATTTCCTGTTTTTGTCCCTCATAAGTTCTTTCCCTTTCTATCTTCCCCCCTTTTTCTCATCCCCTTTTTTATACCCTTCTCTCTCTAATTTTCCCTTCTGTAGTTTTCTTTTCTGCTTCTCCTTGCTGTTATACTTCTTTTTCAGACTATTTTTCTTTTTGGCTGTTCCCTTTGATCTCAAACTTTTAACTCCTTTCCCCCTTTTTCCCCTTATTACCACACTTTGCAGTATTTGATCATTGAAAATGGCTTTTTCTTTGTCCTGCCCTTCTTCTTGCTCTTGAAGCTTTTCCTTTTGCTTTTCATAGTTCAGGATCTCCATCTCAAGGAAGTAAAATACAAAGCCAAAGGATCTTCCTCCCCTTTCTGCATCTTCTTTCTGTCTTTTTAAGACTAATCTTCAATTCCTCCAGGAGCGATGGCATTTAAACACTTTTGAACAACCACCCGATTGACTTTAAGAAAAAACAGAAAAAGAAAGAAAGCCAAAAACTTTTTTTTTAAATCACCAAATGATCCCAGACTGTTCCTCCTTGTTTCTTTCCTTTACTTTTCATTTCCGTGGGTTACTGCATCTTTTAATAAGATTTCAGTTACAATGTATCCTCGGGAGTCTTTTCAAAGTTTTGCTGTTAATCGTCTTTATTTTTCCAGGTGGCACTCCATTTTTCCATTATTCCAAGTCCCACCCTTTTGCCTCCACTCTTCTCCTTTTTAGGGCTTTGAAATGACCAAGAAAAAATCTTTATTCTCCTTTTGACACTTAGATTTCAGCTTAAGGTTGCCTATTAGTGTCAAAATAGATTAATATAAATTTCTTTCCATACCATTTGTAATTGTCAATTTAAAGGTAAAAAGGGGTTTTTTAACCTCCTTTTCTCTCTCCTTTGCCGCTTAAAGATCTTCTTTCAGAAGTATCCCTCTAGGTACTTTTAGATTCAGGGTACCTTGCTTAGATGTTCTCTGTTGTTTAGCCCGGTCTGTCCTGCTTTCCTCTTTGTCTTCCTCCTGCACAATCTTATCCAGTCGGGTTCTTCTTTGAGGTGGCCATTTCTGACCACCGCTGCAACCGCCTTCAGGGAAGGGAGTTTAGACCAGCCAAGGAGGAGAGATGCGGCTCCCCTCCACTTGGCTAGCAATCTCCCCCGTCTTCAGCCCCGTCTTCGTGGCTTCAGCCCCGAATCCAAAGGATCAGGGCACTAAAGTGGTGAGCACAGATCGAAACCACGCACGATCGCGGATTTTGATCTATCGCTGAAGAGACCCAAACCAGAAGTCAATATGACTTATTCTTGATAAGTCTGTGCTGGTTCCTGCCAAACAATCCATTTGTTTTTTAAATGCTCGCAACCTGATTATTTAATAATCTGTTCCATTGTATTGTCCAGTATCAATATCAAGCCAACCACTCTGCTGATACGGAGGTCTTTTCCTCCCATCTTGGAATATAGAAATGCATTGTTCTGCTTTTGTCCTTTAACAATGAACTCTATGATGTCTTAAAAAGAATGGAATGGGTGCTGAGATGACATTAATAAGCCCCTTCAGACTCTCAGAAATAATTGTTCTGGTCATAGAAATTTGAAATGGTTAAGGGTAACAAGTGCTCCATAATAATCTTTACTTCCTTAAAGTCACCATTGTCTCCTTGTGGCAATTGTTCTGTTTAGGTCCATTTTAACAGTTCAGATGTCTTGAGCATAATCTTGCAATCATATTAAGATAAAATCAATATTCAATTACAGTGATACAGGCTTATTTGATACCCCTTATAGGTTGAAAGACATTTGGGTCCAACTCTGTTGGATTTTGTCACATATTAGTTACTAATGAGG